TCAATGAATGACAAAACGACACGTGTAATATTTCTTTTTCGTATTAAATCCCGTTTTGCTTTTGCAGTTTTACTGTGCTGTGCTTTTTTTTTTTAATTTAAAAAATAGTTTTTTTTCTCTTGGAATTGTGGAAAGGGCGCTGTTAGGTGGGGAAGTGGGCCCACATTGATGGCGGGGTGTGGGCTGAGTCGGGATAAGCTTACTAGTTGACCAGTAACGTCACGCCACGTCACCATCATTACAGCCTTTTCTTTATTTATGAAAAAATCCCCCTTTCTTTTTAGATTTCGTTTTCAGAGTATTAATGAGAACATCTTGCAATATGGTTTCCAATGCAATTATGTACATGGATTTATTTTTCCTCAATTAGCAATATAATAATATCAATATAATCTTCAATAATATTCATACATTTTTCATCACAGTTTGAAAATCAAAAATAAAAAATAGTAAATATTTGAATTTAAATTTTAAATTTATTAAATAAAATTTTAAAATTAATTACATAAATCAATTAAAATAAACAAACATAAATAAATTAATTAATTAAATATGTAAATTTCATTTAAATTTTGTTTTATCCTCGTTTTAAAAATATTTTAAATGTGAATATTTATAATTTCTTCTTATATCCTTACAGTACGGCAAAAAAATTGCTCAATAATTTGTCATAGATTATAGAAGAGAAATGTTTTGCAAATTTATTGATAAAAAAATGTTAAATCTAATAATTTATATATTTGTTATCATATAAAATATTAAAATCTATATATTTTATTATATTTTATAAAAAATTACATATTATAATTTTTATTAATATAAATATATAAAATATATTTTTTTAATTTTATTAAATTTATATATAAATATTATTAAAAATTTCAATTATTTTATTTTTATATTTTATTTTTCTTTTCATTTTTATATTATATTATTTATTTTAAATTATTAAATCTTAAAAATACAAATCTCCTCCCTTCATTTGAATACAAGTTTAAATTAGCTTCTCCCTCTTTTTATATAGGGGTATAACAATTTTTTTATGATAGAAAGAAAGTAAGACAATATGCCATATAAAGCATTGACAGCATGTTCTACTGCTCCCGCAGTAATTGTTGCTTTTCCTGCAGGTTACGAAAAGTAAATGAATAATAAATATCGCATCAACTATATATTAAAATAGATAAAAAAGATAAAAAATTTTTAAATTAAAATTTAGTAATCATTCAAAATTTTGTTATTTTTTACAATTAATTAATTTTTTAAATATTTATTTTCATTAATTAAGTCATTATTAAAAAATAATAAATTATTTTTAAAAATTTAATTAATGCAAATAAATATATAAATGTTCAATTAAATGACAATAAATATTTAAAAATTTAATTGATTATAATAAAATATTAAAAATTTAATTAATTATTAAATTTTATTTGAGAAAATTTTTAACCCCTATGCGATAATATATAAGTAGATGAAGTATTTTTTTAAACAATAGCAATAGCATTTTTTAAAGAAAATCTAACACAAATAAATTTTCTAACCCAAAATTAGAGACTTAGGGTAAAATTTTATAATTTCCCCCCCTTTTTTTTTGTTTGAGAGCTTACATTTTGAATAGCATGGTCGAAAAATCATTATTACTTAAAATATTAAACTTTTATTATCAATATGAATAAATTACTTGCTCAAATTAATTTTTTTGTTAAATAATACCATTTTATTTTATAATAAAAAAATTTGAAAAATTTTAGTATTTTTTTAATTTTTTCCTTTTTTTATAATTTTATATCAAGGTTTACAGTATTTTTTTTTATAATTTTATTTTAAATATCAAAGAATCTTATGTGGGTAAAACTTATTGTGGTAGTGACTTGTAAAACTCTCTTTATGTTTTCGTAAGATATATGTATAATAGGAATTGATGTGTGATTTTACATCTTACACCAATTTAATTTCTTTACTACTAAAATTTAGTGGGCAAATTTGAGACTATAAAATGTCACGATTTTAAATGCCATTTATAGCACAAGTTTTAAATATAATCTTTCTTTCTCAAAATAATTATTTTTATTTAGTGATAGATCCCAACATTTAATTTTGTAAGAACCAACTAAAATTATATATATTTATTTATTTTTGTTATTCGAATTAAGAAGTGATCGTCAAATACAAACATATGTTCCACATGGATATGCTCATTTTAATTTTTTTTTTTTATATTTACATTATCTAAACTCTGTAACTCACGTTTACATTTATTGCCTATGTATTGAACAAATAATTGGAGAAGGTGACTTGAAGGTGATGCATTAGGTGTAATTTAATAATTTGTATATTTATATTATGAAAAATATTAAAATTTAAATATATATTATATTTTATATAAAAATTAAGTATTATAATTTTATTAATATAAAAATATAAAATGTATTTTTAATTTGATTAAATTTATATATAATAATTATTAAAATTTTAAATTTTATTATATTTATATATTGTCGTTATACCGTAATTTATGTTATTGGATGCGCCAAACTCACCACCGGCCTCCGTCTGTCCCCCAACCTATCCATCTCTCTTGCGAGACTCACACGCTATCTAACAAGGAGTGCAGCAGCGTGCACACTGCTCGTTACATGCCATTTTCTTCCCCTTTTTCTTTCGTCTTTTGCTTCTTTTTTTTTGTTGAGAGGGGAAAGTGATTCCTTTCGATTTTAATTTCTCGTTTTATTTGTTTACGCAACCAAACAAAATGGTTTTAAAGTTTTTATTTGTTTTATTCCTAAGGCACATTTATTTCTATTGCTTGATTTTAATTTTTCAAATATTGTTAATCACAAAATAAGTTAAATTGGTGAGAGTTGTATTTACATAAATAATAAAAAATTTTAATAGTTTTTGAAAGAAATAATCTATTTAATTAGAGCTATAATCATTATATTTTAATTATTCAATCATAATTTAAAATTATATAAATTCATTAAAATTTTAGCAAATTCTGACCTGAGGAGTGGAGTTGGATCGAAAAATATCAAGTTGATCTTCTTTTAGTTGAGATTGGTTTTAATTTTTCTCATTTTCTAATCATTTTTGTTATGAGAGGTTGAAATCTAAAAATAAAAAAAAAATTGTAAGTATTAAGGAATGAATGCGTTATGAAAATTTATGGAATTGGATGAACTATTCGAGTTAAGTCACATATTCGAGGTGCGGTTGGAAACCAAAAGGTCAGCTTTGTGATCCAAACAAAATCATGGTGAGGTAAGATTGGAAGAATCTATCGCACCACACCTCTAATTTGTCACACGGGACCTTTTAGGTCCATTGAAAAATTATTTCTTCCACCACAGCTATTGTTATCCATGTTTTTTCTTTTTTGCCCTTGAAGATATGGTGTAAGGATCAAAATATTCTTATCATTTTATCTTTCATTTTTTTTTTCAAAAATTATAAATAATTTTGTCAATTCAGTATAATAAATATATATATATATATTTACAATTGAGTAATTAATTAAAATAAATAATTACATAAAAATATTTTTTAAAATTTTTTAGTTAAATAATTAAAATTTTTATTACATATAAATTTTAAATTAATATCTTTAATGATTATTTTTTATCATATTAAAATTTATATCATCATCATTACTACATTTATATCAAAACATATATTTTTATTATTAATTTTAATCTCATCATTACAATAATTAATTTTATTATTTTTAATATTATCGAAATTAAATTTATCGTTCAGCCTTAGTTAACAAGGGTAAGATATGCGGGACTATCGCTAGCAAAACAGTGATACCCTGGTTGGATGCTAAGAATTAGTTGTTTGTGGGTGTTATACATTACTTATTTGTGATAATAAGGTGCATGCGGCACATGTTAAGAACTTAAACTTAGTTATCTTATGATCTTAAATAAAAAATTACATCGTCACATGATCTATTTGAGCTTGAATCATGAGCGAATCGTGATTACTTAAATGTACAAATTTAATTGATGATTTTTTATTAAAATATTTTAAATACATAATTATTATTATTATTTTTAAATCATTAGGTATGATATATTTTATTTTAATATAAAAAATTAAATAATATATTTATTTTTGAATTTTTGAATGTGATATATCTTGCCTATCTATTTTTTATTTTTTTGTAAAAAAAAAAGTTAATTCATACATTTGCATGTGTGCAGTACGGAAATAAAGTATTGTTGAACTACTCAACTAAAGAAGCTTTATGAATGCCTACTGTCATCGACAATCAGTGGATTTCAACTCTATTGCCTATTTCTTTGGTTACAAAAAAGCTTTTACAACGATAAATTATCGTTTTATAACGACATTAAATGTTACTAAAATAACTTTTTTTAGTAATATTAGTTGCAAAATGACCATGGATTTTGCTTCTAAGTAGTATAAAACTATGGCGTATGAGTGCTTATTGAAGCTTTTTACGTGCTGGAAAAAATTTTCAACTCGTTTTTTTATTGCTTCACCATCATGATTCACGTTTCAGGAAAGGCCCGAAAAATCCTAATTATTAAGATCCTAGTTGGCTTAGGGTGTTTGATGCCCTATTAATTCTGCAGTTCAATCACTTTTTATTGTCGGACGTATGAGTGTAAGCAATATATTAGAATTTGAAAATTATTTAGATTTTATTCAAATAAAATTTAAATTTAAAAATTTGAATGATTTGATTTATAAAATGAATGGAGCTTGAGCATATTAAAATTTAATTCAAATAATTGGTCAATTTAATTAAATTTTTATATTTTAATTAAAAATTATTATTTTATTTATATATAAATTTAAATTCAAATATATATAATTGAGATTTAAATTAAACATGAAAATCAAATTTATTTTTTATTTAATAAATAATTTTAATAAAATAAATTCAAATAATTTAATTTTATTTCATATTAAATTTAAATTTAAAATTTAAAATTCAATTAAATTCGAATCCAGAATAAAAGTTTAACTCTTTCCAACTCTTTACCCTCGTTTCTACAATGATCAAACTCATATTTTAATTTGACAAAACTACCCTTGGCTGGTCAAAAGCAGTTTGAACTAACCGAAGTACGCTGAAAAGCCTCAGCTGCTTATTGTTTAGGGTTTCTCTCTTCTCTCTGGAAAAAAGTCTTCTGTAGCTTCTCGAGGATGGAGTCCAGCGGCGATGACGTGGCACGAATCCGCCGCGAAATCCAAGCTTTAAAGGACGAGAAAGCCTGCATAGAACAAAAGATTTCAGTCCTCGAAGCTCAGCTCCAAGAAACAGCGTCATTAGCACCTCAGCTGCAGCAAAACGGCGATGTTTGCAATGGTTCCTGTCCTCCAATTACCGCCGTCGGTGCCAACATGGCACACGGACTATCGGCGGATAGTATTTACCGTTATAGCCGCCATCTTTTGCTCCCTTCTTTTGGAGTCCAAGGTAAAAAAATGGCTCCTTTTTTTGGATTTTAATGTTAATTTTATTTAATTATGTAAATTTATGTTTGATTATCGCTAATTACGTTATTGAATTGAATAAAAAGCTTTTTTTTAAAAAAGTCAATAAATTTGATAATTATGTGAGAAATTTCTTAAAGTGAATATGTTATTTGAGAAGAAATTGGCTCTTTTTTTTTTTTTTTTTGATGGGAGCAAAGAGAAGGTATCTGTTCTGTTTGAATCAAGGAATAGTTTTTCAAAAAGCCTGCTAATCTTTAACATGCTACGGTAATATGACATGAATATGATATAAAAAAAGTATACGAAAGTGACATATTTTAAAATTTTAGTAATAGTTATATATAAATTTAACAAAACTAAAAAAATTTATTTTATATTTTCGTATTTACACGAATTGTGATCTGTAATTTTTATGTAAAATATAGTACGAATACATGATTTCAATATTTTATTCAACATGAATATAAGAATGCTAGATTTAGTTTTTTCTTTTGACTAATCTAGTTTCTTGGTGTTGTTTGTAGCGCAATCAAATCTCTTGAAGTCTTCAATATTGGTTGTCGGAGCTGGAGGTTTGGGCTCGCCCGCTCTGTTATATCTAGCAGCTTGTGGTGTTGGTAGGAATAAGATGCAGCATTTTGAGCCATACCCGAGATTTCATTTAGTTCTTTTGGCATGGTGATTGAGAAGGGGTTTATTGTTTTTATTGTTTTTTTTGACTTCTAGGTCGGTTGGGAGTTGTCGATCATGATGTGGTTGAGCTTAATAATATGCACAGGCAGGTATAAGTTTTAAAATTTGCAGTTGAAAGTAGCTACCCGTGTTATTATTTAGGGTAAAATACACTATTAGTCACTTAATTATGTGGTATTTTAAAAATGTTCACCTAACTATTAATTTTTCAATTTAGTCACTTATATTTTAACTTTTGAGTAAGTGTTTTTTTTTTAGATGAGTACCGATTATGTATTTTACGCTATTTAGGGTATTATGGTGTAATGATGTTGTTCCTGATCAGCAATATCCGGCTAAGTTATGAATCATTCGATGTCAATGTAAATCCGGAAGATTCTTAGTCCTTTGTTTTCTATAGCTTCAACATTATGGTTCTCATTCTTTTCATCTATTAGAATTGAAGGTGGCAAATGGGTACTCACTTTTTGTTATTGAACCATTAACTTAGAGCTTCACTCTTTTTGATTGATCTACATTTATGTTAGTGCTCTGATGTGTTATGTCTCTTGGATTTCCTCCGTATGATCTTCAATTGTGACCATGAATCTTCTGCTACTCACCATTTTTTTATTGTTGTTGATTTGCTGTACTTCAGGTCATTCACACTGAAGCATATATTGGTCAGCCAAAAGTAAAGTCTGCTGCTGCTGCTTGTCGTGCGTATGTTACCAATATGGGATCCAGCCCTGTTACAATATATTAAAGATTAAGTTGTAGTGTTGAATAAAGCACGTTACATGTAGTCACTTGTAATTTCTTTCATAATTTGCTATTCTTGCTTTTATCTAATAGTGTTGAATTCCAGGATCAACTCCACTATACAGATTGTTGAACACAAAGAAGCTTTGCGCACATCTAATGCTTTGGAAATTTTGAGCCGGTATCCTTGTTGATGACATTGAAATGTTATTCTTTCATTCTTTCTTCCTCTCTTGTTAGGTAATTCATGTGAGGTGTGATTTCCATGACTGCTGACATTTCTTAGATATGACATAATAATTGATGCAACCGACAATGCTCCTAGTCGTTACATGATCAGTGATTGCTGTGTTGTGTTAGGAAAGGTAAAGATATCAGTGCCATGTCCTTAGTTTATTCGATATTTGTAGTGCTAAAATGCATCCCCAAGTAGCAAACCTTTTCAGCTGATCGTGTAACAACTCAATTACTAATTGCTTCCATGTTTACATACAGCCTTTAGTATCAGGCGCTGCACTAGGATTGGAAGGGCAGGTATGTTATATAATTCATATTCCGTATTTCATTGGTATAAGTTTGCATCTGTTAAGTTTGTTTAAAACATCTTGCTCAAGCTTCAAAGCAAAACTACATTGGTTTATTTTGTAGCTGACTGTTTACAATTACAAAGGAGGTCCATGCTATCGATGCCTATTTCCAACTCCACCTCCTACAACTGCTTGTCAAAGATGCTCGGATAGTGGAGTCCTAGGAGTGGGTATGTCAAGATATTATTCCCATTTTGCAATCCAGATCTAAACTATTAGTCCATTATTCTGCAATTTTCCTGCAAATGATGAAAAGGAGGTTCAAAGAAACTTCATTTACGTTGAATTAATTCCTGGCAGTAAACCTGCTCTATTTTGTTCTATCTATTGTCAGATAATTGTGGGTTTTACCTCATTAATTTGCATGTTTTCTTTTCCAATGCTTGTTGATCTACATACTTCTAGTTCCTGGAATTATCGGCTGTCTTCAAGCGCTGGAAGCCATTAAAATGGCAAGTGCTGTCGGTGAACCACTTTCAGGGCGGATGCTTTTGTTTGATGCATTGTCAGCTCGAATTCGTATTGTATGGTCCATGATCCGCCTATTCTTCCCTCTTTTGGTGCCATTTGTACTAGTACTGGATATATAGTCTTTTCTGATAACGAATTTGGTATTACTTAGGTCAAAATAAGAGGTAGGTCAGTTCAATGTGAAGTTTGTGGAGAAAATACAACATTCAACCAACAGCAATTCAAAGATTTTGACTATGAAAAGTTCACTCAATCTCCATTGTCAACGGTAATTTTGCTTTCTACTCTCCTTGTTCATAATTACGTAATTTGCTTTCAGTTGACATAGCTATTCTGTAGTTAGTTTCACTCATGTTACTTCACACAGGCAAGACAAAGTACTGTATAGTTTGTATTTTATTTGTCATAAATTTTGAGACTTGGGCTTTTTCTTACTGATCATACTTGCCTTCATCCTAATGCATTCAGTCTCCACCGAAGCTGAAACTGCTTGCCCCGGATTCTAGAATAACCAGTAAGGAGTACAAAGGGAGGATTGTTGCTGGGGAAGCACACGTTTTAGTTGATGTGCGACCGGAACACCACTACAGGATAGTTTCTATCCCGAAGTCCTTAAACATTCCACTTGCAAGCTTGGAGGCTAGGTTGTCTGAAATTTCTGCTGCACTGAAACAAGAGCAAGAGCAGGAGGGCACTGGTTCAGGTGCTAACCTGTATGTAATATGCAGAAGAGGCAATGATTCACAAAGGGCTGTGCAATACCTCCACAACAAGGGTTTCAATTTAGCTAAGGATATTGTTGGGGGCTTGGAGTCATGGGTCCATGATGTGGATCCCAACTTCCCCATGTATTAGTACAAATGTCATTTATAATCTCATAGATGTTCGTGTTATAATCTCATATTATTTTGATCCAATCCAAAGTAGTCATGAATTTAATTTTGATGCAACGGTAAAAAAATGTATTACTTATGCTAGTGTAAGTGAATCTTTCCTCCATTAAATCATATCATGATCCTACTTTGGTCTGGGATCTTTACATCTCTGCTAACTTGCTTGTGTGGTGTGTAGGGTCTTTTGTTCTAAAAAACCTGTTGCCAAGGTTCCCAAGAACCCAGCAGCAGAGCAAACAGTAATGTACTGCTAGTACATAATCATGGGCATTTGTTAGCTCATAATAGCAAACATTACATTGTATTTTACATGATCCAATAAAAGACATCATGAAGCCAATGATCATATAGCAGTTTACATGAAGTCGAATATCCTTACAGCAATGCAAACCAAGTTTGGTTATTTAGGCTTCCATTGCCATAATCTGTAGAAGTTCTAAAAACAATCCTAGATACCAAACTGACATAGAAACCGAACCTGAAGGAACGGGGTTCTGTTTACTGAATGCCGATTCTTACCGCAGAACAAGGCATTCATCCGTCCCGGCCACCATTGCACGGTGGGAGTTTTTGGTGATGGTATTCTCTTTTGCAAGAGATTGAGCTTTAGTATCAGGATCCTCAAGCAAAGTCCCAGAAACGTTTTCAATGCCATCTTTGCCACTGGCAATGGCTTCAAAGATAAGGGCATTCACTTCGTGGAACCTCTCGTCAGAGAGAGAAACCTCTGCAAGGAGCTCCAAGCATTTTCCTCAGATGTCTCGTCATAGTCCTTCCTCCTTTTTAAAGCCATATGACCACTAATTTCCCACACAGCTGGGTTCACCCCAAGAGCTTGTTTCTCGGCATAACACTGTTTGTTCAATTGACAAATTGCAAATTCAATGGTAAGAACTGGCAGTACCATGGAGATATAAAAACGCGTCAATTATGGTTCTAGTTTGTTACCTGTGGAAGGAGAAAGATTCACTTTCCACAATCAGAGATGAGGACATTGTATGGTATGTTGTTATCTTGAAGACAAATGCAGGCATCAGGCACAGTGTCAGACAAGTCCTGGAGAGTGTTACCACCCCAAAGACAAGACCTCTGACCGGATACTTTAAAAGCTCTGAGATGATCATTCCATCACTCAAAGTGGATATCTTCTTGGTGGGAGCTTTCTCAATGGGAAAGGGCACACAGCCAAGTAGTAAGCCTGCAGTGATTGAAATAGTTAAATTGCCTTCTCTTTTCAAATTGTACGTAACTATATCTAACAGATATCATGGTGGCACAAAGTTTATGAGCTATGAAGTACCAAATTGGGAGGTTAAATTCCTGGAAGTGCAGGTGGTTGATTGTAGCAAATGCACCCAAGCTGTTGTAACGCAATTTGAAGCACGGATTCCCAGCTTCAGCTGCCATATAAAGTGCAAGCAAGAAGCTCTCACTGTGAATCCTCTGGGCCAAGCATTAGAGAATTCGAGGGATCAACAGCCCATGTCCATATTCAATAGGACTAACCTGTTGAATTGCATAAAAACAATGTTAATCTTATGGGAGTCTAGCACTCTTGCTCAACTGGTTAGTCTATAGTTTGATTAGGTAGAACTAACATACATTTGTGGCAACAACACTTGGAGAATTCTCAACATCAATGGGAGCATTTGGAAAGAACTGTACTTCACCGTCTTCACTTCCTTCAAACTGGAAGAGCACCTCTTCTTGCCCGACTTTGGTGAAGTTGAATTTGTTCCCATCAAAGGGCTGGAGGACTTTACCAACACGGAACTCAGTCGGCCTATTCTTAAGGTGGCGGCCCTCATTCAGCTGGGCAATAAAACCATATTCACCAGGAATCACCTAAAGAATGATAAACACAGAAAAAATTGATGGTACCAACAGCTCAGTTAACCATAAGACCTTGGTTTCGCAGGCAGTGACATCGTATTGAAAGAGCCCTCTTTGCATGCGATCCTCCCACTATCATAAAAGCATAAAATATTTTTAACCTTACAATTTTAAACACCTATCCACAAGCTTACATTTTCACGTACAATGTCAAAACTGTGGTCTTCTCTTCTAGAGGCTTCACAGGAAAAGTGTTTCATGAGGTCAATGAGATCATAAATCCGGAAGCAGATGGAAGTGTTCATAACTGACTTTAAGCCTTGGTGGGTTCAAAAGCACAACTGGATTCTTTCTCACTTACCTAGTTATGAGATCATAAATCCTGAAGCAGATGGAAGTGTTCACTGCTTTCCGGGGGCTGCAATAGGGCTTAAGTACCATGACCATTTAGCCCTCAACATAACTGATATTCCAGGAGGTTATCTATGTTTGATTTCAGCCAGTTCCTAAGAGAATCATATAATCTGAAAATAAGCATGTGTCTTAGATTCAAAACCCAGCGCTGATGCTTATATCACGCGGCAAAACAAGAAGGTTTCTGAATGAAAATGAAATGGTGGAAATGATGGAGGAACAAGGCTTGGCAGGGTGTCAGACAAGTTCGCTGAGGTAGTGAACTCCTGTAGTGTCATGGTTGGATCTCACTGGTGCAGTGATGGTTCTAGTGGTGCCACTGGCAAATGAGTGGGCGGCAACCAACTATTTCAGAGAACCAGCAAAGGAAATCATGTCTGGTACTGAAGAACCAGAAGCTATGCAACTTCCTCTGGTTCAAGAAACTATTTCAGTAAGGGTCTTTCAGAGTACAAGATTGAACCAGAAGAAAGACCCTTACTGAAGCTATGCAACTTCTTAGAAGCCCAACTCCCATTAATCGATGAATGTGAATGTGATCATCTTCAAGACACAGCAAGTTGAGAGAAAATGAATCCCAGATAGTTACCAGCATCATTTACATTTTATCTCAAATTCATTTTTTCCCCTTGAAGAAATAATTGGAGCATTTGCCCTTTTGGTAGAAGGGGAAAACCCAAAATAACATTAATCTTTGGTTTAAAGAGCATAAATTTCTGTTTTATTGATTCAAGAACCATCATTTTTTTTTTCGGAATATAAAAGTTTAGGATGAGGGAAGGCTTTCCCATTCCGAGACCAACGGGACTTACATTGAATTTACAGGTTACCTATCAAGGGAAACTGTTGGCAGCAGGATTCGAATCAACCTAATAAGCAAAGTCTTCGAATTTTATCAACTCATATAACCGCATTGGCGAATGTCACAAAATTTCAAACTAACAGATTTATTGTTCAAAGGTAATCTGGACTTTGCTGTCTAAAACTGCCTTCATATATATCTTGCACTATAGTAAATCCATTGCAAGTTTTTCAAGTCGATTTACAGCTTACAGCAATACATTTAACAAACATTACCCATCTAATAGATATGATCCTCTCAGCAAGTGGCATCACATCCTACGAGATTTTTGAAGGTTACAGATCAAAAGGTAAGCTGCAGAGTTCTTGGCAAGCTTTTTTGAAGATTTTTCATAACCCTTTTCTGTAAGTACAAGATCTCCAATTCCAATTTCAACTGAATATACGTATTTGCAAGCATCACGATCTCTAGCTTTCTCTTCCCTGCATGTCACAGCAACAAAAGGGCAGAAATGAATATTCGATATTTAATTTCCAGGACAGAAGACACAGAAACGAAGAAAGTTGATAATAAATAAAAGGGAAATGAAAGCAAGGGGTGAACATATGCAAATCACAAGGTATTACTCTTAAAGATTGCATTAATCTTTATCATAGTAAGAGCATTTCAACCAAGTTTCTCTAATTTTCCAATTTTCTTCAATGATTAACTGTCACGCTCTAAAATGTTAGCAAAAATCATATATGGATAATTGATAAAAACAAAAATAAAAAGTGTTGTGTTTCATATGTTGACACGATGATTTTTGTGTTTTACACGTTATAGATATTAAATAGACAAACATGGATGTATAAATTGTCAGGCCTAATTATTAGCAAGATTTTCACTGAGGTTTACATGTTAGATCTTGTTACCAAGGTAAATATTATAGTTTGCTCCTAAATCTACACTGTTAGAAATAAGACATATCAAACATGAGAATCACTTCTCTCATATATAGCTAGCTTTTATTCTAGCAATTCAGTTTTGGAATTCAATTTCCATACCAAAAAAACAAACTCATTAAAGGGATTAAATGTGTAAGAATAGGTTTAAATGTCAAACTGTGAAAGAAGTTCATGCCTGTAACAAGGTTTTGTCCACCTTCTCCTGCCACATAGTCCATACAACTGGTCTTGTGCACCAGTAATCTCAGAAGACCCATCATCTCCATCCTTTGGCAGCTCAATTTCATCCACCCCCAATAGATCTCTAAATATCTGCCAACATATCAAAACAATTTTGCTTAAATCTCAACTCCAAATTAAACCACACAATCACTACTTAGGCTAAGTTTTAGCCATAACACCCTAATCCCGGCCGTTATAGTATATATGTAGAGATATGTGAAGCTTTTTTCATGAGACAAAATCATGAACCTCCAATATTCATTTGGGTCCCGGCTGTGACGATCAACATTGCCATTTGGGTCCCAAAACTTGATTCTAATTTCATATATAGTATTGAGAAAGTAAAGTACGCACCAGCCACAGTTCTTTTAGATCAAAGTCGACATCCGAATACACAGCACCTGCCAGAGACTCTACAATGTCAGCCAAAATACCTGGATGTTGATCTTTAATGGTTTGATCATCTCCCTGTTTCACTGCACCTTCATACTCCTTAACCTTATGAAAAAAAACAAAACCCTTTGTCAGTTAATACTTCTTTAGAGCATAAACATTAAAGAATTGCATTACAATTATTATATTTGCAAGATGAAGTGAAAGAAAAAAAAAACACTTTCAATACCAGGTAGTCAAGATCTTCAATGTTTTTTCTCCTGACGAACCAGTAAAGTCCATGCTCAGCCGCGATGCGCGCGAGTTTCTTGTTGCTTACAATAACTTTTCGGAGATTTGTCAGCTGTTCAGTTGTCAGCTTGGGCTGCTCCAAACAAAAGAAATGGGTAGCAACCGCTAAGCCAAGCGCGGCGTCTCCGATGAACTCAAGTCTTGCAAACGACTTGTGTGGGTTGAATGAAGAGTGCGTCAGGGCTTCCACGAGGAGGGTTTTGTTTTTGAACGTGTAGTTAAGGATGTTCTCCACGGCGGCGATCGTCGACGGGTCCATGCCACAGGCGGAGGACGATAAAAAAAAAGATACATATTTTTTAACATGGTTACAGTAACATGAGCAACAGCAACGCCAAAAGAGTTGCAAAAGCAAAGCTAGGAGAACCGTGGCAACCGCCATCTGGAAAGCAGACGCCGTTTCGACGTCGGAGGAGACACCTTCATCGAGTTGAGAGAACTGATGGTTCATGGTGAAGTACAACTGTGATGGAATAATGGGAATTTGCTTAGGAATGAAGAATTTCAATGTTTTAACGCTAACAAGTTTTGGTAGAAAAAAAAATTAAAGACAAATATTTGTACAGAGATTCTTTTCTGAAAGTGACTTTATCTAAACAACGTGTTATGTTTTTATTGCCGGATTGCTGAATATTGTCCTAACCATAAATAATTCAAGCACTCATAAAAGTTTTAGTGCCAATGATGTTCTTTGTGAAAAGTAAAACTTTAGAAAGTTATAAGGGGAGAAAGTTTACAGATAATTATAAGATTTAAAATTTTGATAAAAATTTTATATAAATTTAGTAAAAATAAAAAATATATTTCGTGTTTAATATATTAATATAATAATTTTTATATTTAAAATATATTTAATATAAAATAAATATAATTGGATACAAAAATTGTCAAATTAAAAAAAGTGATTAAAAATTAAGAGACAAAAGCAGTTTTTCCACTTTGTGGGATAAAAAAATGGATTTAAAGTTGTTTATAGTATTTGTTTGTAAAATTAAAAAATGAATTAATTGGTTCAGTGGTAAACTTCTTCATTCTTCTTCAAGAATTCAACATGAAAATATGAAAAAATTAAATTCAAATTGGTGCACTGGATGGTTGTAACTCGTTAGGTTGATCGTCAGTTATAACAAAAAAGCATGTATGAAAACTTGAAAATTGTACTGATACAAGAATCATCCATCATCCCTTGAGGGAATTTCAGAATATCATATATATATTTTCAAATTTAAAAAATTAGAATTTCAACATGACATTATGAATTTACTATCTTGAAGGACTACCTGATTTAAGAGTATTTATTCGGTCGATTCGGTTAATTTTAAAATAAATTATTTAAAATTAAATTCATGAAATTATATTATTTTATTTTTATTAATCGAACTAAATTTATTAAGTTTTTGGATTAATTGAATAATAAATATATTTAAGATAAATTATGTTTTAAACTTTTAATTTCTCATATTTTAAATAAATTAAATAAAATTATCAAACAAAATATTCAAATATCAAAATGTTATATTAAAAACTCTAACAACTTAGAAATAAAATGATCCATTTCATACACTTTTCATTTTATATTTAGATTATGTAATATTTCAATTAAAATTTTGGTTAATTCGAATAATTTATTTTCAAACCGAATTAATCAAAAATTAAAATTTTTCTAAAATTATTTTTATTAATTGATTAAAATTAATTCAATATTAATTAATCGAATTAAATCAATCTGATCAATTAATTCAATTAAAATCGAATTATAAACACTTCTACTTAGAATCACTCTTCATCATCGAGACATCTCACCAAGAAAGTAAGTAAAAAAAAAAAGTTTGTTTAGTTGAGATTCTACAATGAATGTGTTTCCAGATACAACAAACAAGCGAAGACATCAAATCAAAGATGAAATTGTTGGCATTCCTAAACCTTTGTATCCTAGCAGTCATCTGTGTCATGGTGAACTTCGTTTAAGCTAAAACCAATGTTTGGAGATTGAATGTTTATGTTTTTCTTTATTGTTGGATGCTAGCTACAACATGCAATAAGATTTATTTTAATTTGACAATTTAAATATGATATGAAAATGATACGAATAAAGAATATAAAAATAATATAATTTAAAATTTTAAAAAATAATGAATAAATTTAATAAAATAAAAAAAAATTATATTTTATATTTTTATGTCGATATGAATTGTGATATGTTATTTTTGTATAAAACACGATACGAATATAATATTTTATATGATACGATGATATGAATTAATAGATTTAGATTTACTTGTTTTTAGAGATATGACACAGATTCTCAAAAACTGACGATCAGAATCACAGATAGCCGGAATCTTGAAGGGCTCGGATCATAAAGGAAGCTGCGGAGTTCTCTGCTTCTTTTACTCTGGACTTCTCGTCTCCGGTGATATATTGCGTACCTTCTACAGTAGGAATCTTGACCGAAGACACAAACTTCTTCCCATGCGGACGACCTTCATCTTTCTCAAGTCTGAAAGTTGAAGCAATAAGGATCAAGGATTATATAGTTTACAAGATAGAAGGCAGAAAAGTAACAAAGATGTTGACAATATGTGAACTTGGAACCTGACATTACCCTTTATTAGGGGTGAGAAAAAACTCTAAAAAATTAAAAATTGATTCGAAATTGTAATATTTGATTAAATTTATATTAATTTTTTTATTTGGTTTGAATTAAATTTAAATATTAAATATATATATTAAATTTGAATATTAAATTTTAAATCGAGATCTGAAAAAAAAAAAGAGTTGAACTAAATTATATATTTTTATTAATTTATATATATATTTTAAATTTTTATAAAATAAAAATAATTATTTTATATATAAATCTATTTAAATATATTATAAATTTTATTAAAATAATATATAAAACTAAAAAAAAATTAAATTTAAAAATCAATAAATCAAACTGAATCGATAAAATTTGATTTATATCATATTAATTTAAAAAAAAAGATCAATTCAAATCCGAATTTTAAAAATTCATAACATTATGTATTATTTAAAAAAAATTAAACCAAATCTTATTTGATCCGAACCTTTATCACCATTAATCCTTCACCTTTTCCACCATGCCTTTCCGCTTAGCCTATTCTGCCAATTCCCTTTTGAAGGGGAGACTTCTTTTTCCTTTTTGTCCGTTATACACGGAAAGGCCTTTGTCCCAGTGTGAGGAAGACTTTGACATCCCTATTGCCACTGCCCCACTTAAGGCCCATAATACCTGTTGAAGTTCCATCACTAGTTCAAGTAGCTCGCTTTAGGGCTTATGCTTTTCTTTTTAGTAGATCAAGTCCTCCGAGTTTAAACGAATTGAAAGAGTTTCAATATGCATCCAAACCTAAGGCCATAAGCCCTACTTCAATTTCGGATTGGCCGGCAATCAAAGAAGCAACTACCTTTCTATGTCCCGTCTATAACTGGTGCTTGTCACCATTAATCCTTCACCTTTGCATCACAATAATAACAGTACAAGCTGTTGAAAAAATCAACACCCACAAGCAACATCCACACACATAATAACAAGCTGAAAAAAGTTTCTTAAAATTTTTTACTCAAAACTTAATCCAAAACTCAATTATACTATTTAAAAGCATACTCACTTAGCTATTCTCTTGGTATCTAACTCTCTGAAATTACCAAACTAAAACCAAAACATTTTATTTATAAGGGTGAAACCCTTTATACCTTTGCTAAACTTCCGATGTGGGATTATGAGATTCAAAGCAAATCCCAACAAATCCTCCATTGACTTGAATCTCTAAACACTTCAACAGTATCTGCAAAGCTAACACGCTTACCTTGTTTCTTTTCTTTCATCATAGGGATCCCAGCAATTAAGCCTTCATCAAGCATGTATAAGTGATTTTTAATCTTATTCCCTTGTAGAATCACACTACCATTCTTATACAATTTCAACCAATCATTATTACCATAATATGTGTACCCGAGAAGTTAACTCACCCAAATCAATCAAATTGTAGTGACAACTTGATACATACCTTACATGATGAAGTGTCCTAATAACACCATTGTGAGATCTAAGGCGAATACTTTCAATGCCTTAAATCTGCACCTTTTCTTTGTTAGCAACCACAATATCCCTATACTTTTCATTCTCATCCAACTCGACAAAGCAACTCCTATCATTGCAAACATGAACTGTAGCAACTGAATTTAAAACCCAACCTTTATCACTTTTCAAAGTCTGAGTCTCATCCACACAAGTTGTCAAACTAACATCATCATCATCAGACACGACAGTAGTAGTATCATTTTTTTCTTCATTTGATTTCTTCTCATCATTCGCCCTTTTGAAAACAGTCGTATCCCTTCTCAGCTTCCTGTAGCGCACTTCGATATGTCTTTTTTCATCATAATAATAACATTCTATAACACTGTAATCTCTGTCTCTTGACTTGGATCTCCCTTTTGATCCATCAATCCTCTTTTGAGTCCTCCTTCGATCAAAACCCTTTACAGCTAGTATACTCTCCCCAGGTGATGAGTTCTAAGCTCTCATAAACCTTTCATTCTCATGCAATAGGACAGTCATATCATTCAACTTCAAAAGTAGACCTACCCACCAACACAGTCTGAACTAAAGGCCTATAAGACTTGAGCAAAGATGACAGCAAAATTAAAGCCTTCTCTTCATCTTTTAACTCATCAACAGAAGGCTTTCTTCTGAATCCTATTCCAATTAGCGTCAGACATTACCTCAGACTTACTATTCTCTAATGTCTGATCCAATCCTTGTTGTACTAACAGATCTTGAATCGTACTTTGCTATAACATAAAATTACTCTTTTCATCAAATAACGGAATCTCAAACTTAGGCATAGGCATACCAGACATACCTTCTTCAAACATCTTGAAACACTGCTTCACGATTTCTTGGGCCCACGAACCTTAAACCTCGAACTTGGCTCTGATACCACTTGTTGAAAAAATCAACACCCACAAGCAACACTCACACACAAAATGGCAAGCTCAAATCAAGAATAAGAACATACAAATATATTTGGTTCAGCCTAACTCAAAATGGCTTGCTCCGAACACAATCCACTAACAAATAAATCTTTACAATTGTGAGACTTTTAAAATGAGAAAAATCTCCTAAAACTTCTTATTCAAAACTTAACCCAAAACCCAATTACACCATTTAATAGCCTACTTACTTAGCTATTCTCTTGGTGTCTAACTCTCTGGGATTACCAAACTAAAACAAAAACATCTTATTTATAAGAGTGAAATCTTTTATACCTTTGTTAAACTCTCGATGTGAGATACTGGACAAATTCAAAACTCACTAACTTTCAATGTGAGATTATGAGATTCAAAGCAAATCCCAACCCAAGCAACTTCCCTAGGTAATAGTACGTATCTTATTTCCTTTTTCATAATAGTGAGTATCTTATTTTCATGTTGTGATTAACATTGCTTATTGCATGAATTTCTATCTTCCCTTGCTTTTGACAAAACTCAAACAGCACCGTTACCGGTTGGGGCTATTGCTGCAAATGATCCAATGTAACTATAGGTTTCAATAAACCTCTAAAGATCTGCAAACATAACATATCATTTCCTTCAAACTCAACTTCGCAAACGGGCGGTGGATAATAGGAGAGCCGGAGGGGGCCTTGGCCCCTCAACATTTTTAAAAACCACTTACTCCCTTATTATATGTATATATATACATATTAAATACATTTAAATTAATCCATAAATTAAAATTATGAATATTTTTGTGATTTCATTATTTTATCTATGCATTATAATTAATTTAAGAGATATTCAAATCCTATTGGTATTTGTACCTTTATTATACCTAAATATCATTACTTGTAAATTTTTAAAATTAAGAAATTTGTCATAAGTTTTAAATTACAATCATATAAATTTAATATAAATCAAATTAAAATTTTAATTTTTTCGGATGAGACTCTAAATTTTCGATGATGAGTATCAAGTGGTGTTTTTCCTTTTCTTTTTTTTTTTTTGGTATAAAGAGGCCATATCTAAAAGGAAATTGCAAGTTTTAAGAATAAAGCTCTAACTTTCTTTTCAACTTAATTGAACTTTTCCTCCGTATCATTTTCCTCTTTTATTTTTACTTTAGATCTGTATCTCATGTTGTTGTATTTTTTTCTAACAGGAAAAATTATATTGGAACTACTTTAGTCATTTTCGTGTTCTTTTTTCTTATAGTATTCGTGTTGTATTACTATATCATATTTTAGATTATTAGGCCTATAATTGACCATGAAACTGTTGGCATTATTTGAGAATTTTACAACTAAAATTTTGCCAACCGAACAGCAAGGAAAAGGGGGTTCTTGCAACTTGAAACAATTATAGGATCTTCATTCAGTGTATCAAAAATTAAAGGGATTCACATGAAAGGTGAAGAACAGAATGAAATGAAAAACAAACAAAAAAGAAAAAGAAATGACTGTAAATGACTGATAACATGTATAGTAGTGATCATATGAAATTCAAATAATAATTGTTCTTCTAACTCTTTGAAACTGCAGGTTCTTTTGAGGTGCCTTGATCTGGTTTTGATGAATTTCTTGATGCCTGATCAAGTTTCTGTTCTGGATGGCTGACATTGCTTCTTGATGCCTGACCAGTTTTCTGTTCCGAAGGGCGGCCATTGCCTGGCTTTGAGCCATCATATTTTGAACGTAAGAATTTATTCCAACTGTAAATCTCAAAAGCCAAAACTGCCATAGCCAAGAGCACAAGGATTCCATTGTATGCCCATTTCCAGATTCTGTTATCTGGTTTTAGAATCTTAATCCCTTGATATATGTTCACTGGGATCATAACCAGCAATGAATAGCCAAGAAAATGGTGATAAACATTCCAGTGCTTCCTGTACTCGTCTTCTCGTGTTGGCTTTAATCGAAAGGCTAACATCTGCAGGAATTTTTACAGGGAAATAACTGATCAATGAATAAATATTTGCATTTGTGGCATTGGTGGATCCACGCTTTCTGAAAGAGTGTTCATGGATACCTCAAAAAATTTTCTTTTGGACATTCCAAAGATCGAAAAACAAAAAATTTGACAAAAAATTTTCCTTTTGACACCTTTTTCTTTGATAAAATTGATAAATCTATTATAAGTGAACACCCGGAAAGAAACTCTGGATCCGCCACTGCTTTGTTTTGTGAAATGAAAAAAAGCAAGAGTTTACTTGGGTTACTTGCAAGGTAGTGAATCCGAAAATGCTAATGCCCAGGACCCTGTGTGTATGGAAGGAGTAGTATTTTGACTCATGTCCAAGCAATAGTCCAAGTCCCCAGCCAATGCTTCCAAGAAAGTAACCAAGAGCTTGGCAAGAGTAATGAAATGTAAACCACCAAGGCTCCAGTTTAAATGGAAATTGCCTGAAGTACCTTGCAATAATAACTCCAATTGGCAATAATGTTCCCCACCCTATGATGTTCAGAACCCCATGTATCTGTTAAAGAGCAAAAGAAAAAGAATCAATCAGTGAAACTTTGGTTCTAAGTGCAAATCTCAATTCAATTAATTACAAGATGACAGGCATGAAAGAGTATTCAGAAGCAGGAATTTAAATTGCAGTCGCAGTCATGTTTTCAGTCCTGATTATGAGGCTTGCAAGCTGAGGCGGATCCATGTTTCGAAGTAAGTTGTCTATGGACACCCCAAAGATTGAAAATCCATAGACCCTGCTTCTGAAATACTGGATCCGTCATGGCTTGCAAAAGACTTAAAAAACAAAGAACTTCAGGGACATGACAGCCTTCAGGGAAAGTTTTGATCTATGTGTTAGTATCAAATACAATGATAATACACATTTGCCAATTTGTAAATCTTCTTACCTTTCTTAGATGATGCCTGTTGTGTCCAACGTCCTGACAATGCCCAGTCTGCATATCCAAAACCTCTTTGCTATCGAAATTCTGGAGACTCGTCGAATGCATCTTAGGCTCCAACCCTTCTGCAAAATACCCAACTTGCCACACATGATTCAAGCTTGAAATGTTGTACTTTTCATGAAGAAGCAGAGTGGCAAATATGGTGAAAAATCCAATTTCAATTCTATGCTGTGCTCTCATATTTTGAACCGTCACATTTATCTCTGAAGGCTTGAGTGCACAGTGCCGCTTGGTATCTTTAGTAATGCTGTATGTGTTAACAACTGGAGTGTTTTGATTTGGCACCTTAATGGCTATGATGGCGCTTGTGCCAACCATCTGTGGCTGATCAGGGTTCACCCCCCAGGCCAGCCACCCCATATCAGTGATCAACTTTGTGCCAATGAGGACATTGATTTGCGTCTGGTTGTGACTAGTTTTGTAGTAGTTCCAGGCAAATTGAGCTTGTAAAGTTGATAATTTCTTGCATTTGGTGGTGTTGTTTCTTTCCTTCATCATTTCCAAGTAGGTGTCAATTCCTAAGAAATCGTCACTACATGGATGGAAGCGGCTGGAACTGAAAGCAGCACAGGCAAGAGTAAACAAGGCCAATATGAAAATCATATGCAGAGTAGAAGAATGCATTTTTTGAGATGGGTGATTCACCCTTTCTGTTTTTTAGCTATATATGCACAAATCCGATATTCCATCATTTATCCTTTTTGGTTGCTTCAATAAAACTTGACAATTCATGTTTTTTTGTTGCTTAAAACATTGGCTATTTATATATTCATATCATGTAAAATATAAAAATTATATGTTAAATTGTGTCAAAAAATACAAATTAAATTTTTACTTTGTTAAATTCATATATAATTTGTTAAAATTTTAAATCATATTACTTTCGATTTTTTTTTTTTTTATATCATTTTTGTGTTTGTTTTGAATTGTCTGGTCTAACTCCGGTGGCCATAGTAGCATCTTAATGAAAGTATAAATATAACTGTCTAGAAAACTTGAAAGATTAGTTTATCTTGGCTACTGTTTGGATCTGACAAAAAGTTTATTCCCCAGATCTGCTATTGGACTGAGGGGAATAAGCACAACTAGAACTTGAGGTTGCAAAGTGAGGAATCAGTAGTTTAGAGTAAATTATATATAGAACTCGTGTTTCATGATTTTACTTTTCATATGCTTTGCCCCTTGAACTAAGAAATTCCTTACCCTTTGCTTAAATTACACATAAGAAACAAAGAATCAGTTAGCCCTTAGCTTTTATCTTTTTATATTTTTTGTAGTATTCCTAAAGCTTAAGGCCAAGAAAAGCATGTACTTTTCTAGGCGTTTTTGGAAAGACTACTGTTGTTTTCCTTGCTCAAGGCCTCCTCATTTTTTGTGTTTGTGTCGTGTTAAATATGAAAATTTATTGTATTAAATTCATATGAACATATTAAACACAAAAATAATTTTTGAGTTTTTTCAACTTTTATATAATTTTTACTAAAATTTTAATTGTATTTTTTATTTTTTTATATAATTTTTGCATCATCATGTTATATTTAAAAATTACGAGTCTGTACCATGCTGTCCCTCTTTTCTTTTACTTCCTATATTAGATTAGGATGGTAAATGAAGAGTGTGAATCGCTGTTCTTCAAAATTTATACTACCATTCACAAGTTTTGTAGGTTAGCCTAAGCCATGCCTCTGCTTTATTGGTTTTAATTTTTTTCTTTCCTTATTTAACCAAATTAATGATTATGGTTTATAACAAAATTGCTATGTTATTTGAATTCGAAAGTGTCGGATTTGAGTACGTGTCCAACGAATGTATCCTGGTTTTAACAATTTTTCATATATTTGGATGATTGATTTTTTATACTAATGTTCAATACATATGTGTTAGACAAAAAATACTTTAAGGAAAATGAAAAATTCAAGTAACATGGTGCAATCGGAGAAACATACTTGATGAATCTTGATCTCATTTTTATGAAGGAGTGCATGTCAATCTGGGCTCTCAAAATTTCCTCCCCCACTTTACAATACGCAAAATATGACTATATATCAATCGTATTAGGTATTTTTGAAAATATAACATGTAACATAGTAATATGATATGAAAATAATACGAAAAAAATATAATATGATATGATTTAAAATTTTATTAAAAATTATACATGAGTTTAACAAAATCAAAAAAATATATTTTATATTTTTATATTCACAAGAATTAAGGCACGTCATTTTTTTATATAAAATATGATATAAATATATGAATTATCAATATTTTATACAATATAAATACACGAGTTAGATTTGTTCAATGGTCAGGATATTTGCTCAAATTTAAAGATCCACCCAAGTTTTGAGAGGGTTTGAACAAAAAAATTAAAATCCATTAAATTGGTTTGGGCATAATTTTTAAACATGTTTAAATTTTGGGCTGGGATTTGTATAAAAGATTTAAAGTCTCAGTCTAACTAGATCCGACCCGAATTCAAATATATAAAAAATATTTATTTATATATATATATGTGAATTATATATAAATTAACTCACATAAATATAAATTAAAAATAAAATTACATATTTTATTAAATTTAATTTTAAATTTTAATTTATATATATGTGAATTAAATTAAGCTTAATAATCTCATTAAGCTTAATTTAATTGCATTTTAAAAATTTTATATTATAAAAATTAAGTTTAATGGGTGGACTTTGGATTTATTATTTTAATTTAAGCTGAATTTGAAAAAATTTTGAAGTATGAAATTTTTGAACGGATCAAATCTAAATAAATATTTAAACTATTAATATCAAGCACAAATCGACTTAAACTTGATCTGACCCAACCTAACACATAAACGCTTCTAGCATAAATTATCAGGTTTAGTATTAAGATGCAGATGACCTAGAACAAACTCCGTGTGGACCTCACCTTTATAAATGGGTTGTCATATTACTTGGAGAAGCTAGGAAATGTTTGACAAACACATTTCCACTGTCGCAAACTAGCCAAATACATACAGTGTTTGACCCAAAATATGACTTCACCTGTATTTTAGTATTAGATTATTATAGTCAGAAGCCTAACATTCACATGGTTTTAATTTATTTTCAAACCGTGCCTAATTCTGGAAAAAAAATTGACTTTGCATTACAGAAATGACGAAGACTTTCATTAGTTCAGCATGCAAAATCCCCTTTACGCTTGCAAGGTTTTCAAATTTGACTAACAAAATGATTAAAAAATCATTTATCATCACTTTGTTGACACATTTCACATGAAGAGTCAGCCTTTTGATATGCATGATTCACATTTGTTTTATCTATTTTTTCACAAAGAAGCCCGAACTTCAGATTTGCTGCACGTCACTTATTATTATATAAATGAACTGAATTAAATTTCGGATGCGTATTTGTTTTATATTTGAATCGAGGAAGTGTGAACCTTTAATAAACATTGGTATGTGCTTTCTTCAACCTATTTTTTTATTTGAAGGCTGACCCTTCCACTAAGAGCAACAGTTCAAAATTGAAATCCTACATTTCATAGTTAAATTCCCTATAAATACCCTTCTTCTTGTCACCCTACTCTCCATCCCAAATCCCTATTTCATTTCTCTTCATCATCTATCATTTCTATCTTCTTATAAACAATCTCCATGAAGTTCCCAAAGCTATTTTTTGTATCGGTTCTTGCCATGGTTCTAGTCCTAAGCATTTCAGCAGCACCAAATTTTGATTCTGACAATCACTCAGCAGCTGTAGAGGATGATAATGATGCAACAATGCATGTATCCGAGTACGTTCCAGATGAAGCAGAAGGTCGCTTACTCTTGCAAAAGAAACGAACACGAAGGATTACTTGCAACAAGTTCCCCAGGATTTGTCATGCTAAGGGAAGTCTTGGACCTCAATGCTGCAAGAAAAAATGTGTTAACATATTGATGGACAGACTAAATTGTGGAAAGTGTGGGAAGAAGTGCAAGTACAACGAGATATGTTGCAAAGGAAAATGTGTTAATCCATCATTCAATAGGAGACATTGTGGTGGATGCAACAAAAGGTGCAGCGATGGAGAGTTGTGTGTTTTTGGCTTGTGCAATTATGCTTAGAAGAATTTTTTTTTGTCCCTTTTTGTTGAATATCTGTTAAATTTGTTTGATTTGTAAAAGCTAAGTGTGATTCATTTAATTACAAATCTTGTTCTTTTCTTTCCTTTTAAAAGTTTTTTCATTAAGTGACTAGAGGTTCTTGATTTTTATGGGTATCGATATAATTAAATTTATCTATATCGAACTCAGTAGATTTATAAAAAAAATATTTTCTCACTGTCTTTTAAAGGATTCGAATCTAGATAACAGAAAAAAAAGCACAGTCTCGAGCTATCTCAAGAAATGATCAATAGCTGTAAGAATTTCCAAGTTCTACCAAGTCAATGACAGCCTAATTTTTTCAATGTTAGAGATTTTCTTCTTTGCTTTTCCTGCTAATCCATTTCAGTCAGTTTTCATAATAACATAGTTCACTACCTATCATTAGTCCGCGACGATTTATTCACCAGAACATCCAGATCTTAATTATCTATTGAAAAATAAAGCAACAGAAATCAAATACTAATTTTTGTTGTTTAAACCAACATTTATTAGTAGTTAGGAATTTGATGAATTATTCCAAATATCCAGAGCTGAGAATGACATATATATTACCATAATTTTTTTTTTCAAAATTATACAAATTGATAAGTTCTTTGAATAATAAATTCAATTATATATATGACAAATTAAAGCATAATTCAATTAATTTATGTAATCATTTTTAAGATGTGACATTTAATAAGTATGTGGTTCAAATTTTTTTTTTTGTTAAGAAACAGGACACGTCATTAATTTAAAACCATTTGGTTTGAGTTAATGTGAAATATCATATAAACCACACATACACACTCAGATTTCTTGATGTAGGAAGCTTACCCAATGCAAGACATGAACTTTTTTTCTGACAATCTAAAATAGATGGTTGCAGATCTACATTTGAGATAATCTTAGTAAATGATTACTGCAGGATTCGAACCCAAAATTTTTTTATCAAAAAAATGATTTTAATTGATTAAACCAATAATTTATTGGTAAAATATGAGCTTTAATTACTTGGAATGTCTAGATACCACCTTTGATGGGCCTATTGCTGATGGCTCGCAAAGGCAAAAAAAAAACACTCATTTTTTTATTAAAAAAAACCAACATTAACTCAAAATTAATTAAATAATGTTAATGTGGAATCCCATATAAACCACACGAACACATTTAAATTTCCCTGTACGGGAAGCCCATCTTTTCTTCTTAAAGCATGAAATATATATATTTATATTTGTAGGGCTTATAGCTAAAAGCCACTTACTACACATAAGAGATTTGCATTCATCAATGATATTCAAAATGTCAATGGGATTCATACATAATTAAGATATCTTGATTCAACCTGTCATTTGCTTAGAACTCCATGATCGCAAAAAGAAAGCAGAAATTGTCTATGATATTCATGAACACGAAGATATTTAGGAAGGCACATTGCCATAATTTTGAAGACATTTGACTGATCTGTTCTTTATTTAATATTCTGTAGAAGGCAGAAAACGAGTAAACAGTCGACTGCGTTGTCTATGTTTGAACAAACTTAGCGGTTCTTAATTGAAAAAGCAAGATTTTTAGCTTGTATAATTTTGGTTAATCTTTGTACATGCTTTTGAATAAATCTAATACTTCATATATTTGTATCATATTAAATATGTATAAAATATGAAAATTATTGCATCATAATTTATATTGACATGTTAAATTTGATACACATTATGTTTATTTTTATCAAAATTATATATGATTTATTATAATTTTAAATTGTATCATTTTCATATTTTTTTTATATCATTTTTATAATGTATCTAAAATTATCACATTTATTTTTGAATTATTTTTTATATATTATTATTATTATTATTATTTCTTACGTTGTGCGTAGGATAAAATCTTTTACTTTTTGTTTATTTAATAACAGTTGAATAATTTTGACCATTCCACTAAGAGTAATGCCACATCGAGTAAACATTTTCAATTATGCAAAGTCTCTTATAAAAACCCTATCTCTCTCTCTCTCCTATCAATCCCACACATTCGAGCTTTGCTTTGCAACAAAAACCTGCAAAAAATACTTCTTCATCTCTTTCTGAAAATTTCATTCATGAATTTTAGAAAATTTCTCTTCACATTCATCATTGTTCTAGCTCTACTCCTGAGCATTCTTCATGCAATGCAAAATGTACAATTATTGTTTCTTTTTTTATAAAGGAAGGCACAGTTTTAGAACATATTTGATTATTCATTTATTAGTATCGTATAAAATTTTAAAAATTTATATATTCATATTATATTTTATACGAAAATTACATATTACAATTCGTATCAACATGAAATATATATTTTTTGTTTTATTAAACTTATATATGATTTTTATTAAAATTTTAAATTATATCACTTTTATTTTGTTATTGTATTATTATATCATATTTTAGATTATTAAATCTATTTGGGAATAGAGAAATTAATTATAAATATTAAAATTTAAATTTCAAATTTAGTAGATAATACTTTTAAGTGTTATACGATTATTACATGTTAGATGGATACTGCTTGCATTTAAGATAAAATATGAGAAAATAAAAAATAAAATAATAAATTAGTAAATGGGTGAGAAATTAATTGATTTTACTTTATAATAGCTTTGGAAAAATAAAAAAATTATAAAAAATAACCAAATTATAAAAACATTTAAAATTTAGCTCATTTTTTCATTGGTTGGATTAAAAAAATAAAAAAATAGAAAAAGAAAACGTTGGGAACTTTAAAGGGCCAGAAAGGCCCATGTAGAAAGGAAAAGGAAAGGGCTAAAGGCCTAAAGGCATTCAAAGGTGAGCGAAAAGTATAAGAGGCAGAAGAAGTAGACAAAACGGTGCCGTTTTAGCTGGGTCGAAGAAGGGACTCCAAGGAGAAAGCATCAAAAGAGCAAGAAGAAGAAGAGTGGCTCCGCTGAGCTGAGAGAGCAAGCATTTCAAATGGAGTTCAGAGCTCGAAACTACATCGCAGAAGAACAATCCCACGCGCTTCCTCGATCACGCGCCGCTATCCACCCTCTCTCTTCCCCTTCTCCTCCGACTCACCTCCGCCAGGTCCAAGTTCTCCTTTGTATTTCCTCTTTTATTCAATCTCTCTCTATCTTTCCTTTAATTACAGTTTAAGAACATATCATCGTAGGTTGATGATAACGTCGAAAATCGAAATAACGAGGAGTTCTTCGATCCGCTTAGAGCACCTGATTCTAACGCACCGGTTAAAATCGTCGATGGACGAGATTCTGAGAGTAGTTCGTATGGAAACGACGATTCTGCTCAAGTTCAAATGAAAGAATGGACCTCATTTAAGAGATTCTTAATGCAGAGATTTCCTGTTTCCAAAATGATTTCAATTTCTTCTGTAAGTTCATTGAATTTGTTTAGAACTTATATTTTAATTTTGATAATCGGATGTGTTTGGTACACAAGATTATAATAGGATAGGATAAGATAATATTATGAATAAGATTAGATTAAATAAGGATTAGGATAGGATAATTTATTTATTGGTCAAAATTATTCTTTATCGAAGTTTTTATAATTTAAATTATTGATATAATTTTTAGGGGTATAATAGAAACTATAACTTCAATTCCATGAATTAAAAATAATCCTCTCCACTTTGGGAAGATTGAATCATCCTATACCAAAGGATGATTAATCCTCCTTGTAATCTTATCCCTTGCTTTAGATACAAACCAAACATAATATAGGATGACTATCATCCTATCTTATCCATCATCCTTTGCACAAAAATGACCAAATAATTTAGATTTAGCTATGTGGCATTATTTTAAAATTGGATTACTATATACTTGCCATGTGTCAGTTTAAGTAATTATGTCACCTTTTAATGATTTGATGAATTCTTATTCTATATACCGTTTGTGGAGTTTAAAATCGCCAGAAATGAGTTTATATGATTAACACTTGTCTGTGTAAGTAGTTGTTAAGTAGTTTAAATCCGCTTGTGGATTTTTAAACTCCGGCACGAGTATATGGGATAATAGTTGTAGTTTGATATTAATATTTTTATTTGTAGTTAAATTGACACATGGAAAGAATATGAATTCAGTTGTGGAGCTTTTAAATTCCAATGCCAATGGGGGAATATCTGTTTTCTTTGGTATGAAGTTTGTTGTGAATATTTGGTGTTTTGCATAAGTTTCCCCTTCATGTGTCTTATAATTAGATTTTTGAAACTATACCACTTGTCACCTGATTTTTCTATTTTTTTGGTCATGACTTTGAGACATTTTTCTTCTGACAGATGTCCAATATGATAGTGAGAGGTGGAAAAGGTATGAAAGTTTCTGTTTGTTTCAATTTGTTTTTGTCAATTTATTTATTGATAGTCATATGCTTTTAGGTATTAGCAGTCAGCAAGTCAGCATGATGCTGTTACTGTTTATTTTTTTCCCCATTTAGTTTGAACTATATTCTGATTGTAGCTATTGATGAATCTAATTTGTAGCATATGAGAAGTATTCAACCAGCATGCATATGGAAGAACTGGATGATCCACAAAAATCTTCAGAAGAGGGTGCCAAAGTTATCACATGGCGGGAATATGTATCACGATTACATGAACTGAAAGAAGAAATAAATGGTGCTTGGCACAATGAAGATCGTGTAAAATCTTTGAAGTTGTCTATAAAGGTCTAATGCTAATAAAATCTAGGTGTAGAAAGGACCAAATATCTGCATAGTTGGCTAGGTTTTTATCTAAAGCCCTCCAAGTTATACAATTAGTTATATTGATGGTAATCATATGAGAATCTTAAATTCTGGAGGTACTTGATTATTAAAACCTAGCACACTTGCAAGTAGGTGGTCTCAGAATTTGATTACACTTGTTTCATTTCTATGAAGTAGTTAAATATTTAATATGCTCTTTTATCTTTATGAAGTTGAGTTGCTTGCCAACTAATATCAATCTGATGTGAAAATTAAAGGTCTGGGAATGATATTCTTTTATCTTGCTTGTATATGGAACTTTCTGGTATGTGCTTTTAAATTTTGTTCTCCTTTCTGCAGGTTGCCAGACTTCTAATGGATACATCAGTTTCAAATTTTTATCCAACATTGTTTGTCCTTACTACAGATGTATTGGACATGGTTGGGAACGTGGTATGGGAACGCATCAGGCAAAAAGCTGAGTTTGCTGAAGATGGAACCAAATTTTGCTCCTTACCAGGTTCGTATGTTGTTAATCTGTTTGAACATTCTTATTCTCTATTTCCTAGTTGCTTTCCATGTTTACTGATCCAAGGACTAATACACTGGTGTTTTTAGTTTTTAATACAAATTAGGGAACAAAGCACTATAGTCATTTATCTTTGAGTGCTTGCAATCTTACTTTCAGCTTTTTGATTGACTGTTGGTTTAACCCATAGTTTACAGTAGATTGTCAGTATTTTCTTCACTGTAGCAACTGGATGGTTTTACTGAAACTTTTTCTGGATTTATAACAGAGAATTTCAGAGCAAGTGATGTTTGTATTGATGCCAAAGAAACTTGCTATAATTGGTTTTGCAAGGTTGGTTCCATCCGAGAACTTCTTCCACGCATGTGAGGTTCATTTTGTATTCTCTTTTTTCTTTTAGTGCTTTAATAATTCTAAGGGATGCTGGTGATGCAATATTGTTCTTTTCTTTCCAGTTTTGCTTAATTTTGTTTGCTTGCTGTTTCTATTTGGCATTTACTTTTATCCTTTATTTTTCTCTTTTGTATTGTAAATTGTAATATAAAGTTACCTTTTCTTCCTCTTTGTGTCTCTTTCTTGCTTGTAAGCATGATTTTTACTGGATGGCAATTTGATATTGTATTTCAGTTATTTGGAGCTTGCTATTTTGCCTTGCTGGCGTTTTCTGACTGAACAACCAGCAGAGTCTCTTCAGCGCCTTGTTATGATGACAAGAGGGTTAGCAGATCCATTAGCATCTGCCTATTGTCGCCTGTATATTGCCCATCGTGCACAGAAGTTGCCCTTCTATGATACAGGTAGGTTTGTACTTTTATTTACACACAGATTTTCTTGTGTTGATAAATGATCCCTTTGTGTGAGCATATTTAGCATATTGCTTCTATAATTATCAGATTATCTTTAATCAGACTGAGGACATAGTATGGACTGGCTTTGGCTCAATCTTGTTTTGCTTTTCATATTCTAATTTCTATTTATTTGTTGGCATGACTTGTTTGGTACTGTTGTTGCAGGATATCTAATTACATGTGTTAATGACATCAAACTTATATTTACACAAATATCATCAGCAAAGGAAACCGCACATGGCTGTTTGGCTGACAGCAAAAGCTCACTTGTCAGTCTGATGGAACCAGCTATTGAGTTTATTATGAAATGCATATTCAATGATGCATCTCTGGTCAGTAATTGGGGTTTCATGTGGCAATAATATTTTTCTCAGAGCATCTGCATGTCTAGGTTCTAATTTCATTTTCAGCAAATTAAATTCTGTCAGTTCTTATTTCATTAATGGCTAATAGAAGACATTCTGGTGGTAAAAGCCAAAAGTTGTTGACCAGAACTTTGGAATGCTGATTTTGGATTATGAAACTTGTATAGGAATTTTTTGGATATATTGCTTCAAATTCACTGTTCTTGTCACCATTAGTTAGTGACAAGGTTTATCTACTCTGAATTGTTGCTGTTCCATGAATTAATTTTTCTTTGTGATTCACTGATTTTACAATGTTTACATTGTCTTTTGAAAGATGCGGGTGGGCAAAGTACTTGTGGAGCTTGGAATAGGGAGAAGTCAGGAGGAATTGTTTGGTGGTTCATCATGTGTCTCAATTGTTCTTCATCATTTACTGAAGGAACTTCCGACTGATGTCGTCAGCTCTCATGCTGTGGATATCCTTCATCTTATTAAGTGCAGCAATGATTACTCCTATGATCAGGTACTTTAATATGATGAGGAGACTTGTGCCACAAGCCTTTGCAACCATTTTAGAGCAAATAGTTCTCTTTGTTGCCTTATCCTTCACTTTGCTCTTTTTATTTATTTTTGGTCCTGATACGCCTTATTTGAATCTTTACTGATATTCTTGTTTGTTGGAGCAGTGTTTGAATTACAGATTGCTTGGGCTTAGGCTGTGTGAACAGATATCTCAAATTGGCTCCGTAGATGATATTGTCAATGAAGTTATTCTGGTATGCACTGTTTTCTGTTTCCTCACTCTATGTTTGGAATTTGCTTCTCTTGTTATTTTACCATTCTTGTATCTTCCTTTACTTTCATAAATTAGTCTTATGTTTTTCTAACGTAAACATTTTCCTTTCTGTTTTTCCATATTGAACACCTTTTGCCAATAAACCACGCATTCAATATTGGTTATGTTTATTTTCTTGGTGTATTTATTCTGCAATGTCAGGTGGTTTCTCAATGTGGGCTTGATGAGTACCTGAAGGTTATAGATGCTTATCTTGATATTGTTCTTCAAAATCAGATGGTAATTGTCGAGGTGCTCTTCACTATATTATTGATAGGCAGCATTTTCTTTGGCATTGCCTTTTTAATGCTTAATAAACTGTAAATTCTTGTAGTGCTGATTCCCTTGGGAACTTCTTCCCCTGGGCCCCAAAATGGACCTGTTCTTTAATTGTGCCCTTCTGGCCTTCTCCTTATCAATAATGTCCTTTTCTCTTTGTGGCACTGATGAAGAAATTTTGACAGTTTCATGTCAAAATGGTTGCAAACTTCTCAGCGCATTAAAAGTTTAAAGATAATATTCCAATGCTATACTTCCTAGAAATTATGAATCTTCACGTCTTCGTCATCCTGTTGCTTCACTCAAAGTTAATGGCAAACTTGCTGGGGTTTGCATTTGAGTATGTGTTACATGCTGCAAAAAAGTTCTGACTTGGGCAAGAAAATTTAAGGGGAAATGAAATTACGAATTTCAATTTTCATGATAGATGCAAATCCTCAGTTGTAGCAGAACCATGGTAAAAATTCTTCATATAAATGGTGTGTGATTTGGACTTGTATTTAATGTGCTTGCCCAATAACATTTCTTTCCCTGTTTTGAACAGTTTCATATTTGGCATTCATTTGCTATAATAGATATATTTTCTCCCAATCCATTGATTATGCCAGGATGGCCATCTAAAGACTATTTTGGAAGGGATTTCAGAGTTAGCATGTGATCAAGTGATTGCTGAAGATGAACTAGCAGGCTTGCAATCCATCTTGGTGAAGGTTCTTTCTCATTTTGAGGACTTGGAAGATGTGTTTTCTTTGGTAATCTTTTGAACAAATTTCTATGTTAGACATTCTTCATCCTTGGTTTGTTACCCTCCCCCTTCCCCTCCATCAACTTAACTTGCCCTATAAATTTGCTGAGAAATAGTAACACTTCAGTTGTTTTACGTTTGTGTAGCATACCTTAACTCAATTACAAAACTATATTGTCACACACTGATGAAGAGTGGCTGCAATTCGTTATTTTGTAGAACCATTTCCTTCAGATCTTAGATTTGATGCATGGGAGCTCTCGTAGCATTGTCAATATGCATATACTTGATATGGCTACAAGGTAAATTTAATTAGTTTGTCTTTTGGTCCTGACTAATGTAGCTAAGGCCTTATCTTTTTGTTGCTATTATTACTGTCTTGGGCTATCCCTTACTTGCCTTGATCTATCGTAATCTGTGGCCTGCCACTGCATGTGTATGACTCTTGGACTGGTTTTTATTCACTATTGACTTGTAATATAATATCTTAGTGAAAACCATGCTAGCTAAGCATGTGTGTGTTACCTGAATATTTTTGTTTGTTTTTGTGAGTTGCTGAGCTCTTGCAATGGCTACATTGCATGTTAAAAATAGCATCAGCACTAGGCGAAGTGTATAGGTTATGCATCCTTTGGAACATTTTAGTCATATGTACGTGAAGTTGCTTGAGCTTTCTATTTTTCCAGAATGCAAAGCTTTTGAAATATCATCTTTATTTCATAGGTATTAACAATGATTAGTTCTCTCATAATGTGACAATCAAAGCAGCCCAATACATAAAATTCTAGAAACACCGTTACTAAGGCTGGCCTTCATATGCCTTCTGACAATTAGGTGGCTGTGTTCTAAGTAGGTCTGACCTGCAGGCTACATTGATTCAAGTTATTGAAACAAGTTATGATAGGCAGCGCTGCCATAGACGGAGTAGAAGGGAGCCAGCATCTTCATAATGTCCTAGCATGATGGATAGGGCCTTTATTAAGTGGCAGCAAGCAACATTCTCCTTAAGTAGTATGGTTTTTTACTTAGGTTTCAGCATACAAATGCTAGCTAGCTGAGCTAGTTCAGCTTTAGAATTTTGCCATATTATAATATTTGCATTGCTGTCCTTGCCCCTTCTCCTATAGACTTTACCGGGTTTTTATCTTGCATCAGTTTGTCAGCGTGGGGGTTGTATAAAACTTTCAACAACTAAAAGAGATTTTGAAAACCTCGTTAATGAGTGTCTTCTGTTGATATTTGTTAAGTTGCTTGTAGCGTTGATCTGTATTCTTTTTCCTTTTGTTTATTGGTGCAGAGTATTTGTGTTTTGTGTTTGAATAGTGCCACATCCAGCTTGAGTTGTATCTTATGCTTGAGTTTTTGGGCAGGAATGGTTATGTACGTGATCCAACATCCATACAGTTAATTTTTGAAATTTCACAGGAATTACATAATGATATTGATATTGCAAACAAGAAAAATGATGATAACCAACAGCAAGCACGGCTGATTTCCCACTTTGTCCGTATGGTATGTTTTTGGTTTTCTTGTCTGTTACGCTCTTGTAGGTTTTGAGTTACTTTTGACTATCAATGTCATCTGTCGATGTTGTCATTGCTTCATTTTTAGGTAGACCATGGGACAGAGTATGAACAGCATTTAGCATTTCTCGTGGAATGTCGTGGGGCCTTTAGCAGCATAATTGAACTTAAGGTATACTGTTATCTTTCTCTCTCTGATTTGATTTTGTTAATCATTTTGTTAATGGAGATAATGTGTGGCGGAAGGATTTATAAGGAATGCGTTTGTTTCATTCAAACTTACTTATCACGAGAAAATGGCACATGGGATTAACAAATAGTTGATGAAGCAGCAGTCAGCTAATTTTAAACTGAGGCCACAACTTAATGTATAAATATTAAAGTGTGAAACCGTTGCATTGGTTTTCTCAGATGGGGAGCTAGAGTGCTGTCATGGCATTGGCTGTAAAGGAATCGTCACTACTTGTTCATGTGTTTGTTAAAGATATTATTCCATTATTTCATTAGTAAATCAGATTCTTATTGATTTCCGTAAACTTCCCTTCGGTTTGTTATTCAGCATTTGATTTTTCATTTATTCTTGCAGGAAATTCTTGTTCATTCTAGCAATTTTTTAGCAACTAAAGCTCTTAAAGATGGTAAAAAGCATCTCAGTTTTGTAAAGTCCTGCATGGCATTTAGTGAAGTCACAATTCCTTCTATTTCGGGTCACATCAAGCAATTACATCTTTATCTTGAGACCGCTGAGGTAATGTTCCCTTTCTCTAATAAAGTTTATCTAGTATGTTGACTTAACTATGAATCTGGCTCATTCATATGGCTATATATTAGGTTGCACTGTTAGGTGGTTTAGTTTCTCATTCTGATGGACTGATAGATTCAGCACTTGACTGTTTACAGAGTTTTGATCGGATGGAAGGTAGTCTTTTTAGCATTCTTTTGTGTCTTTTCACATTTGATATAATAATAATTTAAAATTTTATGTAATTCATTAGCGATATTGTATTTTAGGCTCTCGAGCAGCAGTTGACTCTGATGGGATACTTTCCTCCATTCGAAAATTATGCAGCCTCTTAATCATGGTTCCAGGTCATACATTGATTTATTGCATACTGAACTTTCTGTCAACTGCCATTCAATCTATGTGGAAACGGCAACTCAAATTCTATATCTTATATTTGAATGTTGCATTCAAATACCAGTCTGATTAACAGTTGCACACATGATTTTTGCTATGCATACTCTTGAAACAATAGCTTTTGTTGTCTAATCAATGAATTATTTGTTCAGTTTTGCTGATTCTTAATCAAATTTTCTAACAGTTATGACAAACTTATAAATTATACTCTGTGTAGGACAAAAGGAACAAGTCTTTTAGAGAAATATTGTAGTTGAATATTCCCAAGGAAATATTTACATTCTGCATTTTCTGTTTCATACATTGGTCCGAACGCCATATCCTTGTGTGAATTTAACTCTTACAATTTATCGAGTCCTCTGGTCCCAATTTCAACTAAAATGTTACTTTAATAAATGGATAGTGTCTGATTATTTTTACTTATTTAGATAATCCTGAAGTAGGAATTTTGCATATTCCAAAGAGCATATTATCGATCATTCATTCCCAGTCATGGTAAGCCCTTCTATTGCATCTTAAATGCTAAAAAATTTCCCAATAAACAAATATTCTTTTCAGTATCATTTGTTCTGTTATCTAATGTGATTAAGCATTTTTTAGGTCACCAAGAATGAAGACGAGAATATTCTGTGCAATAGTTTCCTTATCAGCCACACTTTCTCAAGGGAGGCTCCCATATCACGCATTTCATCCTGAGGTCCTTAAACTTATCTTCTATTTAATGGGTTTCCCATTTTAGGAGTTTTGAAACTTCATCCTTCGTATGATTTGGTCTGAATAATTGAAACAGGCATCAAACTGATTCTCTAAACCTGAAAACCTTACATTCTGTAATATAGATTCGATGTCATCTAAAATAAGGCTCAATGTGTTCCATTTTTTTGGTAGGTTATGGGCAACGATTTGTTATTCTTTGGCAATTCATCTTATGTGCATGAACTTATCTCATTGGCGGCATCTGTTCTTGAAAATCTTGTTGATGTTATTGAGCGAGAGCCTTCCCAGGTAAACATATTTTCAAAAATTTTCTGGTATTTAATCGATAGGCCATTTTATCCTTTCTATGGCTGACTTGTTATGCTGGACTAGGCTGCCCGTGGAAACATGTCGCTCGAAGCTTGCAACTGCATAGTATCATCTTTCAAGGTAGTTTCCTCTATCATCTTTTTCAGTAACTAACCTGATTTTCTTAATCTTAGCTTGACCTCATAGAAATCAAAGAAATTCTTATTGTGCCATCAATGGTAGTGCATGCGAGGCGCGATATCCAACCCACATTGTATGTTCCTGATAACACTACTTTGAGTTTTCTTTTGTTTGTGCAGATAAACGAACATGTATTACTCGTCTGCTCGAAACTGATAGAAATTGCCAAATTGTGTTTGAGTGCTAAGGACAAGTATCTCATCTCCACCATTAGTTTTCTGGACAAGAACTTGCCTGCTGCGACTGCCGCATCTTCTATCACCGTCTGATATACTCTAAAAAAGCCGTCGAAACCTGTAAATACACCAGAAAATATTCTTGGCATTCTTTGATTATTAGTGCAGATAGACCAGTTTATATCTGTATTACCCGTCTGCTCGAAACTGCCAAATTGTGTTTTAGTGCTTATTACAAGTAGCTCTTCTAGGGACGTAATTGAATTAAATCGAGCTAATATAGTGAGAAATTTAGGCTCAAGTTTGAGCTTGATTCAAAATTCATCTCGAGTTTTATTGAGTTTTAATTTTCAAGTTCGAGTTTGAAACAAAATTAAGCATTAATTTCCTAAGCAAGAACTCGACTGCTACTTGAGTATAAGTATCATTTGTACCACTAATCTTATTTCACCATTAATTTTTTGGATAAAAACTCAGTTTCTTGGATAAGAATTTGTCTAATACTTGAGCATTAATTTTCTGGACAAGAAATCATTTACTTTCTTAAAATCCAAAAATTTACAAATCAAATACCTCATAAAAAGCTTTAAAACTCTAAAAGAGCCGTTTAATATATATATATGTTCAAGGACAAGGTTGTGCGCCAAGAAAGGAGCAAGGAAAATCGTGGCTTTCAAACGTTTAAAGTTGGTCTTTGGCTATAATTTCCCAGGGCTTATCAACTGATCATCTTTTACTTCTACAAATTAATAATTTTCGCGGAGCAATGGCATATCAGTTCATTTTCAAAAGTTCCTTTTTGGTTTGTTTGTTTGTTCGTTCGTTTGTTTTGTTTTGTTTTGTTTGTTTTTGTTTTGTTTTTGTTTTTTTTTTTGTTTTTTTTTTTTTCATATTCCTCTATTTCTATACTAACCAACAACGTTATCACTTTCTATTTATAAAGTAAATTGACAAATTTTTTTCTACTCAAATTAATGCTATAAATATATATTAGTTGTGGATTGAGTAATGCTAATATTAGTTTCTTCTAGTTTATAAAAAAATTGACACATTTGTTGATCCAACCAATTCGGGTTCCATATATCAAATTAAATTATTTGACTTCTATATTTTTCCATTATAATGGTAAATATAGGATTAATTGAGTGAATTATGGTCAAACTAGGGCATGCACTCGGGAAGACATGATATAAATTTTGGGCATGGGAAGGTTAATCCCACTTAACTGCATTATATATATATATATGTAGATATATATATATATATGTATATATATATATATCTACATATATATATTTAGGGTGGTTTATTATTGCATTATTATTTAGCGCATGAGTGTGTAATTTTAGGTTAAATTCAAGGTTAAATTTAATTTATTTATATAATTATTTTAAAAAATAATATTTAATATGTTTAGAATTTAAATATCAGAACCTCTTCTTTTATCCTTAAATTATGAACTCATTGTATAAAAAAAAATTGTTGTACACTAAGTTGTTTGTATTTTCTAGCTATAAAAAATTAATAATTAATAATTAATAATGGCTTTGAAATAAGCCAACCAATCCTTAATAAGAAAAGGTGAACCCAAAGGATAATCAAGAAAACTATTCCTTCACTTACCTTTATAGTAAGTTTTATTGCATGCTTATTAATTAGTTCTTGAAATGGATTGGGATAAAGGGAAATATGCATTAAGTGAGAAAAAGAAAAAGCTCGTAAGTATATATGAATTAATCTTTTAACTTTTATCTTTTAATTTGTACTTAATAATCCCTTAACATAAATTAATTTTTTTTATTTGAAAGAAGGGCATACTTGAATATAAATAAAAAATAAAGACTTATTTAAGTACAATTAAAAATATAAAAATTTATTTAACTAAAATGATAAAGTTTAAAGGTTCTTTTAGTATTTTAACTTATAACAAAATATTTCAATCTCGATCAAAATTTAATGATTTTAAGATGCATATAGTTTCAGCAAACTTCAAGATATAACATCCTATCTTTGATAATTTATTCATATTTACAAATAACGATCTTTTAAATTAAACTATCTGATCTAAATGATTGATTACGTTTGTAGACTTTACCCTAAACTCAAAAAAGTCTATTCGTGCATTAAACCAATTAAAGGTAAAAAGTCTATTTTGATGACATATATTCGAAACTATACATTCAACTTAAATTTTTAGATCATTCAATGAAAATTTTAAAGAACATACGTGTTTCAATCTCTTTAATGAGTTTATTTTCTAATCAAAAGGTCGACATTTTTAGCCCTATATAGTCAAAACTTATCTATACTTTAATTTTTATTACTTTTGATTTTTTTAATAGATTTGCCCTTTTATTTAGGTCTAGGTAATACTATATAGTGTAGATTTTTTTTTTTTTAATTTAGATCCGCATTTTTAGCCCTTTATAGTCTAAATCGAGTTCAATTGTTTTTTGGTCTACAACAGTGCTCCTTCCATGGAAAGGATCCTTGTCCTCAAGGATAAAATGCAGGATACTTCTTTTGCAATTCGAACGGCAACTCCCAAGTAGCATCTTCTGGAAAAGAATTCCTCCATTCAACCAATACTTCAGTAACGGTTCTGTTTCCCCTTTTAACCATTCTTCTAGCCAACATCTTAGTTGGCTTGTTCACCATCGATCTATCACCATCCACAGCAGGTAAACTGGATTGCACCATTTAGTTGCCAACATGTTTCTTTAATTGTGAAACATGATATGTGGGATGGATTTTGGAATTACTAGGCAACTGTAGCGTTTATGCAACCCGAACAATCTTCTCCAAGACTGTAGGGTCCAAAATATTTAGCAACAAGTTTGTTACAGCTCCTGTTCTTCACTGTTTGCTGTCTATAAGGTTGCAACTTAACATATACCAGATCTCCTACCCTGAAATCTCTATCACTCCTCTTTTTATCAACCATGTTCTTCATCCTCGTTCGAGCTCTGCACAAGTAAAACTTCATCATTTTGATTGCAGACTCTCTGACTTGTAAGTTCTTATTTACTATCTCTACAATTGAATCTCCTCCTATGTATGGCAAGTCTAGTGGAGGAGGTTGCCCATACACCACCTCATAAGAAGTGGAGTTGATAGTTGAATGATGTTGATATTATGCCACCATTTTGCTAAAGATAACCATCTTGTCCATTCCCTAGGAGTTTCATTTACCAAGCATCTCAGGTATGTTTCCATGCATTGATTTACAATATCAGTGTGTCCATAAGACTGAGGATGATAAGTGTTGTAACGTATAAATTTATGGATCTACCACTAGACATAGACTTAAAGAGTCACAAATAATCTTGTTTTATGTAAGTGTGACTAGTCACCTAACTGAATTTATCTCATTTTAAAGAGGTTCCAAGCTTGACTTAAGTATTTTTAAATGGTAGATTTTAATCTACGAAATCAGATTTTGGATTCAGGAATACGATTAGACATAAGGAATGTTATAACACTCTCACAATGCCCATCTAAAGAATGATATAAATTTGATTTTAAGTTATCCAAGCCTTAAAATATTTTTGTAATTTTCAAATAATTTAATTATAAAAAATTGATCATAAAATTACTTCAATAGTTTAGTAGTAATTTAAGATAATTTTCTCACTTTAAGAGTATTCATATAAACTAGTGTCCCACTCTGAAGAGACTCCATTGTCGGATCCATTAATGTATTTTATTTAAAAAAATAATTAGTAAAATCTTTCAATAGTTTGATAAGATTTACTTTGATATAGATCTACCAATAGTTTGGTAAAAATTTATTGTAAAATTATGTATGAAATTTATTTTAAGAAAATTTATTAAACCTTTCAATAGTTTAGTAAGATCCAATTCAATATTTAAATTCTTTAATAGTTTGATAGGATTGAAAAAATTTATTGTTATTATATTTTTACAAGTAATTCATTCAATCCTCTAATATTTAGGTAAGATTTAATTCAATTTTTATCCTCCAATAGTTTGGTAGGATTAAAAATTTTATTATTATTATTTTAAAAAATTCATCAAGTCCTCCAATAATTTAGTAAGATTTAATTCAAGATTTAAATCTTTTAATAGCTAGGTAGGATTGAAAATTTTATTATTATTAAAAAAATTATATTATGAAATTCTTCAATACTTTGATAGAATTTATAAAAAATTCTAAACCTATAAATTTTTTTTACTAATTTGATAGAACTCATGAATTTATTAAAAAAAAATTATTTTTAACTCACAATCTTTAAATTTTATTTTAAACATACATAAAAGATTAAAAAAAGTGCAATATATGAATAAATATACAAATAAACAAAATAAGAAAAATACCTTAATAGATGGAGGCACACCCAAAATTATTCTAGGACAAACTTCAAGCCTATTCCAAGTCTTGGCTGGCAAGAATCAAGGCCTGGTTAATTTAATTTTTCGTCAACTATTCAACATTTTGTCTTCCATGCTACTACACTGCATCTTTGAAATTTCATGGCAAAATGGTTTGGTATACACCAAGTTTGAAGCATGTGGACTTTAGATGGTCTCTTTTGCTCGTGTTTTCTTCATTTCTTCCTTTTTTTTTTGTGTGTGTGTGGTTGATTGGTGTTTATATAGGATCTTTTACTAGAAATTTTAGGGATTTGCATTAAATGGAAAGGATTGCAGATCTGATTATGCACTAAATTGATTTTTTATTCTCTTTAAAATCAGTTTAATTAATTTCTAAAATTGTCTCGATTTTCCTTAATTTTTAGAATCCCTTAAAATTTTTCAAATTAAATCTGACTTAGGTTTCCTAATTTGATTTCTTTTCAATATTCCTTTAATATTTGAAGAGATCGTGTTTTAGTTTTAATTGCCGAGATCATCCTTAATTAATGCTCAAATTACTCCATAAATTTCATTGACATGATTTATGATAAAAATTAAAAACTAGATAAATAAAAGACTAAAACATAAAAAAGATAAATAAATAAATAAGACAAACAAGATATAAAAAGAAATGTAGGAAATTAGACAATTGGGCTTGGATCATATCCAGGACCGATTAGTTTGAGTCATAGACTAAATAGGGTATCCATAGCTACCTTTTTTTGCATAGTTTCTGTGAGATATGAACTGTGCAAAGATATAGGTACCCATTACATCCGAGCCCAAGTTATTCAACTTTTTTCTTTTTTTTAAAAGTTCTTCAAAAATGAAGGCACACAACTTTTTAAAAAATTAAGGATAACACTTGAAGGTTTTAACAATCATGCCTGGATATCTTATATATCACATCTAAAGAACTTAAAGATTAAGACTGGAAGTCTTACAAATCATTCATTGAAAAATACTCCTTTAAACAAAGGCCACACAATTAAAAAAAAAGCATCTAAAAGT